CATTACCAATCGCGGTTATATTGTGTTTCGGGTGAACAGCTACATACTGCACGCGTCGCAATTGCCTAGATAGATCAGCTTGTGTGTAATCATGAGCACCAATTAGTACATACAGCGGATGCTCGGACGTAATGGTCATGTCGATCAATCCGTCAAATGGGGTATATCTGCAACCAATGGCATCGAAGACGCAATGTGCCACTGTCAGTATGAGGGAGCGAGTGATCAGCGTTCCTCCACAGAACGGCCAATCACCAAACAGCGACGACCATAGTCCCACCTTGAAAGAAGAAAAACTGTAAGACATTTACATTTATAGTTTCAGAATCTCTGTGTAGTACTCTGACCTCCTTGACTTGATTCTGAAAACTGAGAGGACAAATCTATCATGTTGCGTTTTAACAAATGATTTATGATGACCATAGTAAGTGTGAGATCGTCATCTTTGCGTATACATTCGAGGTCCTGAGTAATCATGCACTTATTTTGTACCCGTCAGCTTAAGAAGCTGCGCTACAAACGAAGATAAAGGGTTTTATAAAACTTTACGTCATACATCAACAGTTAAAAACGAGACATACTATTTTTCGTCAGGCGATATCAAAGTAAGTTAAATTCAGTACTTTCGCAGATACTTAGCTTGTAGAATATAATAGTTAGTATCACTGCTCAAAGAATGACATATCGTGCCAGGGTTCTTGTATAAAGATACTACTTCAATCATGCGAAGCAAATCAATTAAACTGCATTTATTATCGATCTACGTTTCACTTCCATTTTGTAGCATTTGATTAAGAAATGTTCTTATTACTGAATCGCCGGTTGCTTACGTGCCAAGGCCAGCTGTGGGGCGTTGGGCGAGTTTTCATTCTCGTGGCTTCCTCGTTGTATTTCCGCCGAATTACAGGAACACCACAGTCCGTTGGAAAACCGCGCTCGATTTCGACAGCTTTCACCAGACCTGCGGAGACATATTTGCATTTATTTGCTATTTTAATGTAGGCATTGGCGCTAGCCGACAATACCAACATTACCCACTCTGACCTGCGCTTAATCGGCAATCGATGGTGCTCAGTAAATGTATTTTGAGAAGTTGGACGTAGACAGCATTAACGTTTGAGCAAGTAAACTGGCTGAAGTGCATTGTTTAACGGAAAGATGACTGATACATGACATTTTGTCATAAAAATCTTATAGCAGTGCCTTGTTAAGATTCTAAGCTTTGGCTCGAGGTCTCTGAAGCCATGTCAGCTTGCGTCTATTAACGAAGGTCTTCCTACAGGTCGTGTGTAAGCTTGATGTGTGACTTAAAACACCCACTGTTTTCAGCATCTGTTTTATTGAAAATTAAAGGCAGTAAAAAAAAACCAGCATTTTATTAGCTAGGTTTATTTTCTCTACATCATCATGTTTCTCAAAAAATCTCCTAAGGTAACAGCAAACAAAATGCGCGCCTTAATTAAAATTAGAAAATAACTACCATCTTTAAAAATACCATGTTTTTCAGAATTAATGGCAAGTAAATGCGGAGTTCATAGTTTTCTAGAAGGTGAGTAGCAATCAAAAAGTTCCAACTCCTGTACATTAGTCAGTGCGGGCATTTGTACTTTAAACGCAGTAAGTGATTTCGTCGAAAATGCTTGCCAAAGAAGATAGGCATACCACAGGATTTTAATTTAACATCAAAATGTACAGACCATAGACGATGATCCCAAGCAGAATGTAGACAATCGCTCCAGCAGGCCAGCGCTTCATATTTAAACCCCAGAGTCACGAAGAATGTGCTGAGCCGTAAGGCCTGATTTCTGCTTATATAGCACAGTTTTTTTAAATTCAGCGTAGCTTCTTTTGAACGTCAAAAATAAGCCCCATGTAAATGCTAACTCCATTTTTGTTTATGTCCCGCTTTTACATCTAAAAGTCCATTCAGACAAGCAACGCTTCAATAAAATGCAGAGCCAAGATCCATGCGAGCCGCACATTCATCTCAAGTTGGTGCCCTAAGGGTACCAAAGGCGTGATATGAGAAATGTCAAATTAATCGACCAAGGACTCCGACAAACATGCAAGAACAACAAAGTGCCCATCAAGAGAGCATCGCCTGCATAGCCACTCAATCAGAGCCCATCTGGCAGGTGTGCGGAGAATCAAGCAAGCAAGCAAGCAAGCCGAAATCTTTTCACACAAACGGCAGCGCCTGACCGGTACGCTGGTTGCCAAGGGGAAGGCCGACAAGCACGTTGACTCGGTCGAAATCTATAGAGGCCACGCAAGTCCGACATTGGTCCATCTTGGAGGAGTCAACTGTAGTCAGCAGAAACCGGGCAGGTACACGCTGGAAGAGAACACCCAGCGATCATTTCACGGAACTCATTCATCCCGTTGTGCCTTTGGGCTCTCTCCTTAAGTTTTTCTAGGGATGCTATTGACTCTTGATTGAAAGTGGGATGCAGGAATTGTGAGTCAGTCGAATTCGCGTTCTTCCAATTCGCCAACAAGAAGGCACTCGTATGGTTTCGTTCATCAGATGTTACCTTTATTCACACAGCCCAAACCTTTGTCTGCACAATTGGAATACTTCAGCTGATGTCGTCAAAACATCACATAAACATACTCCATATTATGTTAAACACTCCATTTCTGATATATGAATTAACTTTGAGAATGGAGACTTGTAAAATACTTCTATCCTCGGAGTTCCTCGTACATCATAAGACTAGTGATATGCTTCATACACCAGCCCATCGCTAGACGGCATACGCAGCAATCATTATAAACAAAGAAATTTGTCGCTAACAATGGGACCTCTCCAAAGCCAATTATACGAGCTGAGAGTCTATGCATCAGCGTGGAAAAGTAGAGAGCAGAAACTGCTTAACGCCTCGCTGCAACCTGGGAGATGCAATGGAAGTGGCCTTTCCCTAAATGCGCAACCCCGACATCAAATCCAACACTTGACATTCTGCCTCTCTCAGAAAGACTGTTTCTAGGCCAAATGGAAGACAGTTGGAAACCAGAATAACGCGCTGTGGACGAAATACAACTCTTTTGACTCGAATGACAAGGTTACAGATGCACTTAAAATCCCATGTTTTTCCTGCAACGTTGCCTATTGCGGTCAAACCGGAAAATCAAATAACGGTGCAAATGTGACGCCAGCTTTCCTCCGTTGCCATGCACGTGATGCAATATTGGGATGTAGTAAATCTTCATCGCAGTGTGCTCAGATGATACGTCTACTACTGGCAAGCTACCTTGTAGGCCGTAGTCAAAACACTCCAGAGCAAACGAAGCCCGGTTAGGAGAGAAAAAACAGATACATTAATCGAGCGCTTTTGGCAAGCGCTAGCCAACCGTAGAATGGTGTTTTTTAGGCAGAGGCAGACCATTGCTAATTGTTTTGAATCGTTAATAATTTTGATTGGGGGCTGTTTCACCAGTCACAAAAATTGGCATTGCAATTCAATGATTTCGCTTTAAGTAACTGCTTTGCGTTTGTGGTCTGCGTCCTGTCCACCTATCTAGCTCATACGTTATAAATGACTGCAATCTATTCCTGAGAACCAATGCTACGGAGATGGTGACGGACTATTCTCCCCTTTAGATAATGAATTGTGATGGCTGTAGTTTGGCGAAATTGACGGTGATTGTAAGGGCAGCTGACAACCGGCTCAGAGACAGTGAGCTTATGTTGGGTTTGTAATGCATCGCTTGTGATAAATACGCTGCAATTCGCATAAACACTGTGCCAGAAAAGTTGTTTTCCCACCATATAAAGAAGGAAGGTTGAGAGCAGCATGCAAGGGCATTTTCGTGTGTTAATACAATACCCTACCTTCGTCATCTTCCTGATTTGTAAAATTATTGTGAATCACTGCATTAGGAGTAAATGACAGAGCTCGTTAAGAAATCCGTTCAAACAAATACACATTTTCATATAGAGCAATTAATTTGAATATATCTTCAAGCCTGTTCATCCTGCGAAGTGTATAAGACTGATCGTTAAACGGGGGCTTCAAAAGGCTGGAGAATTTGCTAAAAAACAGCGTACAACACTTGATTGCATTTGCACGCACTATCTCAATGGTTTTAAAGTTGGCGTATACAAAAGTGCCTACTGAAACCCATATAGTAGCATGTTGACAACTAAACGATGACATAGAAACTGTTTTTTCGGAGTTCTGACCGACATTTAACAGGTGAGTATCCACCTGCACTCTCTCCACGAAACCTTCAGGGCCGTAAAGCAGGTCTCCAGCGGGAAAGCGCCCTGCTCGGACGCGACCCCTGTTAAGATCTAAAAGCACGATAGCCCCGAATCATGAATCATTTGACGGCACTATTTCAGGAGTTGTAAGAGTCAGGGAGAAGTCTAGCAAAATTTCAAGGACGCGACAATCGTCCACCTCTATAATCGGAAATGAAACCGCCGACTCTGGGACAACCGCCAAGGCATTTCCTTGCTAAACATAGCCAGGAAAATCTCCGCTCGCATCCTTCTCAACCGCCTGAACAAGGTTCCCTGTCGGAAGGTCAATGTGGTTTACGACGCCATTGTGGGACCACGGACACGATCTTGTCCGCCCGCCAACTTTAAGAGAAGTGACAGGATGTGCGGATCCACCTACTCTCTACTTTCGTGGATCCGATGAAAGCCTTCGACAAGGAGAATCGTGCAGGACTGAGGAAAATCATGCAGAAATTCGGCTTTTCCTAAATCTTCTGTAGGAGTCGTTCATACGGAATGCTATCAAAGGCCTTTTTAAAGTCAAAGAGAATGACATTGTACTGGTGTGCTCAAGTGCAATTGAATTCATAAACAGAATTTAAATGGCGTTACTTAGCAAGGCATCCTTTGTCCCTGGAATTCGAAGAGGCTTAGTAGGACTGATATGTGTATCCTATCACTGGTGAAACGCAGCTAACATCTGATAGTGTTTGAAACATTGTCAACCTAAAGGCCAAGGACATAAAAGGTGGATTTTTGCGGCTGAATGTTCCGTCACATTTGGCTGTGGAGGGTTGCTACACCTGTGAATGAAACGGAGGGGGGGATATCAAGGCTTCAACAGAGTTTCTTAGAGTCGGATAAGTTCTACAGTCAGTGTCTCGTTAGAGTAAATATTTATTGCCCATTAAAAGAAAGTTCATACCAAGTTACGCTTCAATTGTTTGTACACAAATTTCGAAAAATGCAAGCAGTGTCCCTTTTGAATATTCTTATGGACAAAGTTCGCATTAAGGAGGATTCCTCGAGTTTTGCACTCAAATAGTGCATGAATGTCCTGCAGGTTTCATTTACGAGTACAGCAACGCTCCGCTGCCGAAGTTGATGGACCCCTCAGTCGCGAATTCAAGTTTTATACCGTCGACCCTTGTGAGGATGAAACGACGGCTGCGTTGCATATACTGGTGGTTGATGCACAAGCGGTCGCAGTATTTATAGGATGTAGTCGCCAGGCTACCGCATATCTGTGGGAATTCACGGCACCCTCTGTCATCAGAGGGTAAAGAGTTTAATTTGCAGAATTTGCATGACTCTATATTATTTTCAATATTTTTGTAAACAATAGGTAGTACAAAGGCGTTATCAAATCTTTTGTTTGATAAAACTGAAGTGAAATTAACTGAATACTCCAAGGTCATTTTGCATATTGCTGGTTTTGGTTGCGTGACTTTCCAAAAAACTACTGTTACATTTCTTCTTCGCCTCGCTGACATTGTGCGCATTCGAAAAGAAAAAGGCAAGATTGCTGGGGCAGGAGTTTTATTCGCCTGACGTTTCGGATTCCTGTTCGAACCCATCATCAGAAACAATCGCAGATACTGATGGTTCATGCATAAGGGGCTGCAGTAGTTATAGGATGCATTTGTCGTGCTACCGAATGCCTAAACATATATTTGGGGCTTCATTTAACCCTCATCAGTTAGTATTGCATATGGTGCGATGACTGTTTGATGGCCGAAACTCGCGTCTTTAGCAGCTGCAGTTTCCTCGCGGATGTTGGATATTCGTGTGATGATTGCTCGGCCATCTGACCCACCGAGTGTGTTTCAGAAATTCCCTGAATGTACGGCTGTGAGTTGAATTTCCGCGACACTCTATCTCTATTAGACTCGGGGCTTGGCGGTTGTCTTTGGCATCTGAGACAGATTTTTGCAAAACTGGCAGGATATCCGTTGGACCGGAATAACCGATGTAAGTCGGCCAATTCTTTCTTATGTGAGTCATCACTGTCGCAGATGCGGTAGGCTCGATGGAAAAGAGTGCAAACACAGCTTCGTTTATGGGCCGCAGGATGATTGCTTCCATAGGTAAGTATGATTTCGGCGCTAGAGTCTTTTCGGTGGACTCTTGTCGCTCGTCTGCCATCACCAAGTCTTTGTGCGCTTAAATCTAAGAACGGGAGGGTATCTCCTGTTTCTCCTTCGCGAGTAAACAGTGTAGTCGGGAAGACGCTATTTAATTTCTGGTGCAATCGCTTAACTTCCCTGATCTTTATGATGAAACATGTGTCGTCCAAGTAGCGGGGCCACATTTTTGGTCCGAAGGTTTGCACAACATCCTCTTCTAGTCGCTGCAAGACTAGTTCTGCATGCAGCCCCGATATTGGCGGGCCAATTGTGGTGTTTTTGCTTGTTAATAGTACTTGCCATCTAACTGACAATAATTCTTGTGGCAAAACTAAAGCATGTCTAGAACATGCTGTGTTGGAATGTCAATGGAGTTTGCTCTAGATATCGGGCTACGCTGT